TTTTACAACACTTCTTGTTGCGTCAAAATATAATACTGTATCCATTTTATTTGGAAAATACTTATTTAATGCTTCATTTGCACGAAGATGTACTATTTTCGGTTTTATTGCTGCAATATCATGTAATGATTAGTATATCTGCTTCTGATTCCTTTTTCTCGACCTCCTTTTTTTCCTCATTGGTAAAGTTTCAATATTACTACATTCTAATGAAATATTAGTTATACAAGAAATAATTTCGCGCGTGCGTGAAAATATATCCATTTTTAATCAAATATATTACAAGTTAAACATTTAATAAAAAAAGACGGCTAACAACTCAATAAAACTTTCGATAAACGATTAATAACCGTATAAATTTTGTTCGTATATCTTGTAAATATACAAATACTATTGCTTACTTTGCTATAACCTTATCCAATAGTTTCTTATTAATTGCGGTTAATCTTATCCAATAGTTTCTTATTAATTGCGGTTAATCGAACTCTAATTCAATCTTACACATATAAATAATATGACTAGCCTCACTCCTCTATAAATCAAAATTTGATTGTTCTAATATTATTATAACATACCCTATAGTATTATATTATTTAGTTGTTGTTGATTCTTGTAATACTAACTCTAAAATAATTTTATGATTTAATATTCATATTCAAAATATTCAAAATTCATATTCAAAATTTATTTATTTATATATATAATTATATAAAATTGATAATTTAAAATACTTCGAAACATTTTATATTTACAATACTTGTATAAACAACTATCATATGCATTTTTAAAGTACTTAAATGTCTGAATTTCTTCATAGCATTCTTTACATAAAAGGTGAATAATTTATTACATACTATTTACTATAAACTGAATTTATTTTTGATATTTATTATAAATCAATTTTTATGAAAATTTTTATTAACAACATTCTACAATAAATTTTATGACACTTATGATATTTATCCTATCTTCATTTAATAATTTAACGTTTAATATGTCTCATAAACTCTTCTAACTCTCATTATAATTTAAAATGATTTATTCCACTTTGAGCACAAAATTTTCAACACTCTCATTAGATAAATAAAAAACAAAATTATTGTTATGTTCAAAATAAGAATTTATCTACCCTTTCCTTTTGATTAATTAGTTCTCTCATTTTATCAAATTTATTCTTAAAAATGCAATGGATTTGTTGAAATAAAATCTTATGGAGAGTCTATATAGATAGATCCTTTTTCAAAAACTAAAAATGTATCGTTGGTTTCTTTTATATTGGGAATAAGGATATATTTGAGTCTCTAGAGTTAGTTGGAATGCATCATAGGAAAGAGGTTCATTAATAGCGAAAATCCGACTAAGAGCATCAGCATTTGTGTTTGTCTTACCCTTCTTATAAATAGTTTCGTAATCTTATTCTTTTCTCTATCCTCCATCTCATTAAGCGAGACCCAGGATCCTTTAAATTGAATTACCAAACTGACGAGTAAACACTCTGTGTTGTTCCCAAGACACAAAGCATTTGTTATCGTATTTATTTTTCAACAAAAATGACCGGCTAATTTTAGTGTTTTTGTAATTTGGCATCTCATTTGTGAAATTATTGGTCATACCATAGACTTGATTTTTTGCTTGTTGTGATTTTTGAAGAAACTGAAGGAGGTCTTGATATTTGGGAAACTTTCCTTGATACAAATGCTCGAATTTTCCTTGTAACAATGGATCGAGTTTCGAGAATGCTAGTGACGTTATTAGAAAATCATAGGCGTCGGGAATATTTAATTGGGAAAGCGCTTGCGAAGTACCGAATTTTTCAAGGAATAAATTTATTTGTCCAGAAGAAATGATTTTGAATGATAATAGCTGTTTGAAATAATTTGTGGCTAGTAACGTTTATTTTGGTATTTTTTGATGAGCGCTTCCAAAAGAATTTGATAATTGTTAGCCGTCGGTAGTATTGAATGAAATATTTTTAACACCGGACCCTGTAACTAACGCCCCTTTTAAAAAATTGAATTTTGATACATTATCTAACTTGGTATTCTCATGAATTAGTGAAATAAAAGTTTCATAGAATAATGGCCATTGTTGGATATCACCTGAGAATTTAGGTACTTTAATGGACGGTAAATGTTGTTTGGGTTCAATGTCTTTAGTTGAAGAATCATGCACATTTTTATTATCTAATTGGCATAAATCGTTTCAAGAGCCTTTATTGCGGAATATTCCGGATTTTGTTCGCTTATCCTTGACCTTGCTCCCCAAAGGCAGCAATTAAATCACTAGCAGGGGTCTTTTTGCTTTTTTCCCTGCCATTCACTTACCAAATACTAATGGTTTCTCATATTGTTTAACAATTATAGACAGGTTTACAAGATGACCAGAAGCTATACCACTCAGTGATATCACAGCTGATACAGTCACACAAGCGTTATTTACGGGCTGGATTTCAAGATTTTGGACTCCAATAACAATAACTTCTGACCAAGGCACACAATTTGAGTCTGCTCTATTCAAGTCTTTGGCTCAGGCAGTTGGAGCGCAGAAGACACGTACAACAGCTTACCACCCTCAGGCTAATGGACCCGTGGAGCGATGGCATAGGACATTGAAAGCTGCTTTGATGTGTTTCTCTGAACTGTGGATCAAGATACTACCTTACGTGCTACTTGGTCTATGAAACTCATTTAAGGAAGACATAAAAGCATCACCAGCAGAAATGGCCTACGGAACTACGTTGAGACTTCTAGGTGATTTTATCAATGTATCTGATAATTCAACAAATTTACAAGTATTTTTAGATAATCATCGCCGAATCATGTGTGCATTAAAACCAACTCCTACTGCTCATTACAACAAGGGCATAATGTTTATTTTGAAAGATATGGACACATGCGCACATGTATTTCTCAGGGCAGATCATGTCCGGAAGCTTCTAGAACCACCTTACAGTGGGCCTTATGAAATTCTAGAGCGAGTTACTGACCGGATCTACAAACTCCGCATAAATCGGACGGAAAAGAACTTCACTGTAGAGAGATTAAAACAAATCAGATACTGATTGTGAATCAGATTCAAATTCACATCACAGACTATCAGCAACGAAATCTACTAAAAAGACTCCAAAAAAGAAAGTTACGTTTAACATATGACGTAAAATTAACTTTTCTTTTGACAGATAGTCGTCATCTTCAAAAGTTGAGGTCTTGTTTATCCATTAATTTGCAGATATTATTAAAAAGTTTAGAAGCTTTTCTGAAAAAAAAGAGCAGTATCAGAGACGAAGAAAAATATTTCACAGCTAAGTAATACTCAGTTATAGCCAAAAATTACTGTATTTGTAAGATATCACATATAATTAGTAACAATAGATATTTATAATATGAAGGAGATGGTACCACTGTATTTCTTGAAGTCAAAATTAATATATTTAGAAATGTCATAAAAACTGTAGGCTTTTAGTAAATTAATCAAAACGTTGTGGAATTTATGATTGCTTAGTTGACGTATTTGTAAAGGTAATAAATTGAACAGTTGAATACCAAAACCATCAATGGAATTAAAAGTACTATCAAGCTTAAAAGTCGATCCTTTGTTAGTTCTATTTCTTGTGACATAGTGGGAATCAGACATGAAAATAAATTAAAGTACTGGGGATTATTTTTTATAAAAAGAAGTGTAATAAGTAGGAATATGTTAGGAACGGTAAGAATGTAATACTTCTGAAAAATATTTCTACAACTTATCATCGAGTTAAGAGAGTTGAAAACATGTTTTAAGGATGCCGAAAAACTCCAAAATTGAATGCCGGTAGACCAAATGCGAGTAGAAGTTGGAGTAATAGATAGAAAGAAGACAATTTAAACTAATTTTAGATTTAGGCACTCTTAACATGAAACAAGTTCTGGAAAGTTTAGGTATTAATGAAGAATAAATATGATCATCCCAATTTAATTTTTTTTGAATTTGAATTCCTAGGAATTTAGAAACGGCAGAAAAATTGAAGAGGACATCGTTAATAATTAGGGAATTGATTTCGTTATTAATCCTGTTGACAGTTCCAAACGACATTATTTTAGTTTTATCGTTATTAAGTAAAAGGTTATTAGAGTTGAACCAATTAGAAATTGATATCATTGATTGATTCAGTTTAAAACTGACTTCCTCAAAAGATTTTCCTTTAATAATTAAACTTGTATCGTCGGCAAAAAGAATAAATTTGGCAAATCATTAATATAAATTAAGAACAATAAGGAACCAAGAATAGAGCCCTGTGGGACTCCGAGTTTTATATTTAACTTATTAGATATTACCGTGGAGTCTTGATCATCAAGATAAACTGATTGTGTTCTGCCAGATAGATAAGATGTGAATAGTTGAAGTGGTATACCACGCACACCATATTTTTCTAATTTATTAACACTTTCGACTCGGGAGTCGGACTGCTAGTAGGTACGCTGCGCTCGGAATATTATAGTGCTATACATATCTCTCAACTCGGAATTTTTTTTTTGATCGGATTTTTTTCAAAATGTGGTAATATTGCTTTTAAATATAGTTATTATGATAATAAAATTTTTTTTTTTGAAAATTTAAAAAAATGCGCTCAAAACCATGAAATATGGTTTAAAAAATTATTTCTTCACAGATCTTTATTAGAATTAATTACAAAAATTTGTGTAAGTTATATTCTAAAAAAAATGACACTGCGTATATAAAAATATATATTATAATTGCTTACAAAATAATAAATGCTGATACACAAGGAAACAAAAATTAAATTTAACATATTACCATTATCAATGAATTCAATAAAAAAATTAAATTTTGTAATTTTGTAGGGTATGGTATTTTCAAAACATTCGCCCACATGTAGACCAGGCTTACGAGTGCAGGTGCCACAAATAAACCTCGTTTCCCTCCTACCGTCTTGTATTTTTCTGTTACAACATACCGCACAGTCTTTTTTCTTTCCATCATTTTGGCGTAAAATGTGTAATTTACCATTCAATCTCTCCTCTGGATCTACTAATAATGGCCTTCCAGGAGATTTGGACACCTGGCGAAAATTTTTTGGTCATTACATCAACCAATTCCCGAACAAACTTTAAATGTGTCATTGGTTTATTCTTGCCTCGTTGTGAATTTTTATACAATAAAAATGCATTGACACTGGACATTTCAATGTCCCAGAAAAATAATTTTTGCCACCATTTCATAGACTTTCTCAGGAAACAGTATGACGCTGAATACGAGTCTGCGCGGTCAACACCTCCCATAAATTTATTATAGTTGATCACTACATTTGGTTTATTTATAACTTGTACATTACCACCTCGTATTCTTCTGTGTATAGGTTGTGTTCCTGAAATGTCCCACGAAGTAAGTGTGGTAACGATCCTTTTATCCTTCCAAGCCAATAACATCAGTTTACCCGATCTGAATGCAAACATGTTATTTTCAGCAAATATTGGTTTTTTTATACAATCGGGTATAAATTTGCGATTGGTTTGAATCGTGCCAGTTAAATAAACATTTAATTTTAATAACTCTTCTGCAAGTGGTATGCTGGTGTAGTATCTGTCAGTATAAAAATGATGTCCTTGACATCCCGGGTTATAATCCAGTAATTTTTGGCAAAGATTTAACACAATTCTTGTAGTTACAGGCAAATCAGGTCTCACTAATTGATGCGATGTCAGGCTTCCGTAGTAAGGCAAAATTGTGTAAACATATCCGGTGTTAGCATCAGCCATTACATATATTCTTATACCCCATTTTGTAGGTTTGTTAGGGTTATAAGTTATAAAACTAATTTTACCCTTAAATCCAACAACAGATTTATCCACTGATATCTCTCTTGAAGGGACATAATGTTGTCTGAATTTCTGGTCCAAATAATCTAAATAATGACTTACTTTCTGAGTTCGAGTATTAAGACTTTGGTTATTTGGATCATTTTCGTGTAAGTGGAGCATCCATAGAATTTGTAGAAATCGTTCTCTTCTAAATATACTAGTAAAAAAGGTATATGGGCGTTGAACTTATATGACCAATATTCTTGAAGAGTAGGTACGGTGATAGTGCCCATATTCGGCACAACCTCAATAAATGCCGTTATTTCTTCTGCTGTAGTATCTATCCACGTGTGCAAATAGAACGTTTTGATAATCTTTTCTGTGATATTTTATGCCTGGCATATTTATTTGTTTGTTCTACTATTTTTATTATAAGCTCATCAGTAAAAAATAGTGTGAAAAAATCTATGGGTGATACAAGTATCCGGAATTTGTGGTCCCACCACTCTATCCTAATAAATAAAATCCTGTCTGGGACTTGATCATGGCATGTGACGTCCTTCCATGAACCATAATTACCAAGTTTTGTTACATCTTCATCACTGCTGCTTGAACTTGATGGTAAAGGCATAGTTCTCTGTCTTTTAGAAACTATAATATCACTACAAATACTGGAGTCACTTTCTTCACTAATATTATCACTATCCAAACTATAACTATCAGGCGCGTCAATATAAAATTCATCATCACTACTTTGCAACTCATTTTCCATTTCATGTCCTAAAAATTTCTTCGGCATTTCAATTTTTTTCAGAAATAAAAAAAATTCATTGAATAATATGGTGAAAAATATTCAAAACGCAAAATCGGTATTAGAAATCTGTAGAATTATTTCATCATTCTTCTATTGTATATAATATTTGCGCAATACAAGATGCGGAAGAGTTTGTAATTCTAGTTGGGTTTTTAATCATGGGATTCATTTCAAAGGATTTCATAATTTGTAGAAGATTTTCACATGGCTTAGAAGCTTTATCGAAATGTATATTAAAATCTCCACACACGGTAATTGAGTCATATTTATTAGAAAGGTTTTTTTATTAAATCATAAAGAAGACTTGTAAATTTATTCACATTTTGATCGGGCGCTCTATAGACGCAAACAACGCAATAAACCCGTTTGGAAATAATTGCTTCAATTGCACAAAATTCAAATACCTTTTCTATTTGTGAAATACCGGTAATGATATTTTTCACATTTAATTTTGTTTGAGGAAAATATGCAAACACCCCCGTGTTTAAAGTTGCTACGAGAGAAATAAGAACATAAGGAATAATTTTTAATTTCAATTAAATTTAATTGAGTATCTGTTAGCCAATGCTCTGCTAAACATACTAAAATATGGTTTGTACTTATTCAGAGCTAATTCGATTTTATTTATTTTATTTAGTAAGTTCTGAATATTTTGAAAAAATACGAGAGTTTCAGACTCTGGGCCGAAAGGAACTAGATTTACTAGAATTTGAAATCAGCGGAGAAAAAACTTCCCTTACAAGATAACGACAAAGTTTTAACTTTGTCTTCAGTAAAAATGAAGACCATGACGAGCGTAGTCAAGTTTATTAACATATCTGTTGATATCAAAGACATGGACGCTACTATATTTACCATTATCGTAATCGCGGAAGATGCAACGATAAATGCTGAAAATTCTGGGGTTTAGGTAATGATAGTCATAACGATAAGGGATTGTGACAAAACAAAGATTTGTTCTACTACAAGAACGACGAGCAAATTCCAACGCATCTGGAATAGCATAATCGGAATTTGAGTCATTCGTACCAGCCATAATGACCACATGATTCCGTTTACCAAAATCAACAACGGCATCTGCAATTTCAGAAACAACATTGGATATCCCTGCTCCCGGCATTACCTTGCCAAAAACACTAACGTTGGGACCCATCAAATCAACTAAGTACTCGGACCATGTTCTGCAATGACTATCAGTTAAAAGTAAAACCTTTAGAAGTAACTATAGAAGCAGTAGTTGAGTCTTCGCGAGAAATAACATCAACTTTAGGAGAGATTACTACTGAATCGGAACTAATACTGATCAACTTGGAATTGGGACAATTCTTCAGTTAATCTTGTAATGGTTCTATCTTTTTCACTTATAATTGAATTTAGCGTGTTAATAATATTGCGATAATTTGAACAATCAATACAAGCAATCGTGCTATCTAAAATCGAAGAATCGTTCGTTGCTTCGTTGAATCGTATTTTGTTTTGTAACTTGGTATTTACTTCTGTACTCTGTAAAAGCGGGCAATGGCGTAACGGTATAACAGGTAAACTTATTTCTTTTAAACATCACAGTATGCGCTAATATGGGTCAGGTATTAATTTTTGAATAAAATTTAGGTAAATGTACTCCTGTTATAATTCATTGAAAGTGAAAAAACACGTGCGACTTCTTCGACGGTCGAGGACGGTTATGTGATATATTAGTTGATGCCACCTTACATTCTAAGTTACACATTTTTACCAGTGAGAGCAACTAAAACGTAACTTTATGACATTAATCATATATTTTATATATTATAATCAAATTAATAGAAACAGGATATCAAATTTTATTTTCAAACTCTAATGAGAAGGATAAAATTGATGGTTTTTTACAAGTTTGTCAATATCAGGTTCCATTTGACTCAAAAACAGTCGTAAGTCACCGCGTTTGGTATTTTGCAACTGATTTCTATTTTTAGTAAGTAGCATTGTGACAGCGCTAAATCCACGTTCACACAAATATGACGATGGAAATGATAGTAAAAATTTTTCTGTAGCCAAAATTGTTGATAACCTTTAAATTGTTGATAATCTTTAAATTTGATTTTTAATTCTTCATTTGTTGTTAATTCTATAAGCTCTTCTTCTATCTGGGCTGATGTTTCTACATTTGCATTTGAAAAAGTGTGTAATACCCAGCCTGGTATTTCCAAATTTAAAATATCTTGAAATCGTTCAATAAAATTGCCAAGAAAATTTTTCCAAATGTTGGCAGTATACGAGCAAGTCTTCGTTGCACGATACCGATAAATGTGGAAAATTATGAAACTCCCGTCTTCCAATATTTTTCTTATGTAATAACAGTTTGACTACAAAAGCAGCGATAATATTTTTTGTCTTTATTAAATTTAAGCCATCGTCTTAAAGTTGTAGATTCATATTATTGAGCGATGCATGAAGGTCTGTGAGATATGCTATATCATTTTTTGATAATAACAGGTTTTTACACAACTGTGTGTCCTTATTTTCTAAAAGTTCTACAACAGAGTCAAACAGATTGTAAAAACTGTTTACAAAAAATTACAAATGCCCCCTAACCCAACGTCAACAACCAACATTTTTCGCGAGGCGTTTCATCGCCTCCCTGGAGATCAACATCGCCCACTTTGAGAAAGACTGGTCTAGAGTGTGGAACAATGGTTCCCAGTCAACACAGGCATGGGTCTTCTCTAGGGATCGTTTTAGGTATTTGGTGACGGTGTTATGCCTATCAATCCTTTTGCCTGTGGCTACGATGACATTTTTGCAAGATGTGATCCAGCGTTTTGAGAGCGTTGCACCCTGCTTTGCAAAACCTATCTTTAAGGCGGCCTCTGATTGTACGACTCCTGCAAGGCATAGAGTTAATTCTGAGTCGTGTACAGTTTATGAAGTCCCGGCCAGACAGGATTTTGGTGTCATCGGTGATCCACCGGTGCTGCTGTGGAACTTTCGATGATTTATCAAGCGGTCGACCATCTACTGAATTATGAAGAAGTTTGGCCCATCTACCATCTAATAACTTGACCGAAGTTATAACATTTCCGTTATCAGTGAGGCGTTTAACACATTTCTCTAATTCAAGTTGATAGTAACTTGATTCCGTCCTTCCTAAATTTAGGAGTCTGCCCCTTCGTCTAAGAGGCACTAACCATCTTAGAGACGGAAGGGATAACCCATTATCTCTGTCTCTTGTATAGAAGTAAGCGTTATGTTTCCCATCCACTAGGCCACTAGGCAACCGAGCAATTTATGACCAAAGGACCAATAAATGTCCAGTTGTAAAAATTTTTGTTGTCTCAGGCGATCGAACCAAATTTCATTCATATTTCTTGAACATTAGAGAAAAAAGACTTTTGTTGCAAATTTTATTTTTTATTAATTTTTTATATAAAAATCATATTAAAGTTAATCATATAAAATTAATGTTGTATATTTGCAACAGATGAATTTGGAATGAATTTTGTCTCAAATATATAGCTCAAAATATTGTTCAAACGTAGACCAATAGTCGTTATAACAAATTATTCACGATTTACACTATATTAGAACCTAATTTTAACCTAAAATATGGCCTTTAATCTTGGAATATACGTCTACATTTACAATAATGCAGATACAAGAAAGGGTCATGCAATGTGGATTTCATAAGTGGAATTGAAATCCAAACCAATGATCATATTTTTTAAAGTGCAATTAAAAACGGACAACTTTTAAAACAAATTCAATATTATATTTATTTTTGAAGGAAAAAATACGAATTAAAAATCAATTTTTTATTCACATGAATAAAATGTGGAAAACTTTATGTATGTATTTCCCCAGTATAATCAATTTTTTGTACTATATAAAAAGTTTTTTAATAGATAATAATACATCGCATTGCCGTTCTTACTATATTCATTTCTAAGATTTTATTTGTAATATATAAAGAAATTTGGTTAATTAATTAAAGAAAAAAACTTTTAATATTTTTCTTATATCATTGAAATCAGCGCAAGAAATGGATTTTGCGATCTAAGGTGTTAACGGTTAATTTATAGAATTTCGGGTTCTGGAAAAATCAGCTTAAATTTATTTGGGGACATCGGATTCGAATATTCCTGGATTCAGGATTAATACAAAAAGGAATACCCAGGCATTATTGACAGACATTTAATAATATAATTTAAATAATATTGTGAATATAAAAGAAACTACTTTATTTAGCGAATAATAATGTGTACCCATGAAAGTTAGCGAATTATTCTATAATATATCGTACTATTAAAAATGAACAGTGAAAGAATTATATATATATATATATATATAATATATGGATAAATAAAGATTTAGATTTTTTGTTCTACGT